GATCACAAGCCACTTGTGTCTGTGTTAGGAGACAAACCTCATGATGAACTTCCACCAAGAATCCAGAGATTTCAGCATTCTGAAGTGAAATTCACCTACATTATAGTACACATCCTCGGAGAAGAGTTATCAACAGCTGATACTCGTTCTAGGGCACCATTACAGGCTCCACTGTCACCAGAAGAATTCCGCCAGGAGTGAGATATTGCTGTTTATGTGGATGTTAATGCAGATGGGCTACCCATATCTGCTTCGCTACAAATGAAAATTCAGGAAGCTCAAGAAGCCAAATCCTCTTGCCAAAAGAAAAAGAAATACTGCTTGGAAGGATGGCCTCAAGTAAGGTTCGAGGACTGTGAACAGGCAAAGTACCAACAAGAGAGACTCATTTTCCATGTTGTCAGAGACATAGTCATGCTGCACAACAGAGTACTGATACCTTCAACACTATACCAGGAAATCCTAGAGAAGATTCAGGATGCTCACCAGGGCATTACAAAAATGTCAAGCCAGAGCTTACCAGACAGTTTGGTGGCTTCTCCATCTGTGAGGACATACAGAATTGGGTGGCTAGTTGTAAGGTTTGTGCTCAATGTTAGGGTGACAATAATTTGGATTATTAAGGAGCACTGGATTTGCAGCTGAATACAAAGGCATGACCTGTGGCCTAGCAAAGCTGCTGACCACAAGGCAGAATGATATCTAAGCCAACCATTTGCTTATGTTAAGTAACCATTTTAATTGTGTTAACCATTTTCTGAGGGAAAAGCAGCAAGTGAATCTGTGCAAGTCTGTGCGCTGTGGACTAGCTACAGTAAGGAATGAGATAAGATACAGGGGCCCAAAAAGGGTGAAAGATGGTACAACCTAAGACAGAAAAACAGACTGGAATGTGAAAAACAACACGTAATTGGTAACAGAATCCAAGATGAACATATGCAAAAAGATGAATGGTGATTGGTGAAGAAGCCTCCAGAAGCTTCCAGGTTTTGGTCAAAGTCCACCCATTGACTGAAGAAAAGGAGTCAAGGTCTCAGACATGCGCTCATAGTAAGAAGTCATGCAAATGAACGAAATGCATAGGCAATTCCATGCTAATGAAGCAAACAGTAAACTGAGGCAGAGCTTAAGATGGGAGAAGAAATGGGTGGGACATAGGAAGGGCGAGGGTAGAACAAATGTTAATAAACATGAACCAAAGTGTATAAATGTAGAAAAAAAACTATTGATCATTGCAGCTCCCTGTATTCCATCGGTGTGGGAGCTAGTCTGAAGCCGTCTCCATTCTGAATAAAGCTGTTGCGAGCAATATGTGCTGGTGTTTGCTCCCTGCTCTGCTCTGGCTAATGAGTAACAGGATCCATGGGTAATTAGACAATCATCTCCCTAGTCATTAGGCACCGCATGGAGTCGGGGTCTAACACTCAACACTGACCAGTCTATGTGGAGCCATGCCTCATAACTGATTTATCAGATCATCCGTGGCAGATGTTGGGAGCCGATTTATTCACCTGGAAGTGTTCTGTTTACCTCGTTGCTATGGATTATTATTCCTGTTATGTGGAGGTGGTACAATTAGAGCATCACAACAGAGAGAGTTATAATGGCATTGAAGAGTATATTTGCATGCCATAGCATACCTTCAGTTTTGAGAACTGATAATGGCCCACAGTTTTTTAGAGCCGTGTTTAAACGGTTTGCAGCCCAATGTGACTTTCATGTCACCAGCAGTCCAAATTTCCCTCATGGTAACGGAGAAGCAGAATGTGTGGTGCGGACTGTGAAGAATGTGCTCCAGAAGAATGAAGATCTCTATAAAGACACTCCTGAACTACCATTCAACACTGTTGGAGCATGAGTGGAGTCCAGCTGAGTTGCTTATGAATTGCTGACTCCATAAAACCCTCCCAAGTATGATCAATGACTTGGTTCCAAAACTTGTCGATCCAAAGAAATTTAATGAGAAAGACAAACAGATAAAGGACCGTCAGAGACAGACCTATGACACCAGGCATGCTTCAAGATGTGTACCTGCTCTTCCCCTCCATCAGGAAGTCTGGATCCCAGATCCAGGGGTCAAAGGCACCATCCAGGCTATGGCAGATACCCCTCTTTCATACAGGGTGGAGATGCCTAGTAGTCTTTTCCACAGGAATTGAGAACATCTCCATCAAATTACACCTGTTTACCGAACTAGGTCTGGCCGTGCCTCAGTTTCACTGAAGAGATTAGATCTGTGAATTAGTTTGGTCTAAATGACTAGACTTACCAATGTTTCTGCTTTGCTTAGGTTCCTTTTTTAACTAAGTGTATAGCAAGTTTTTCCCTGAGAAAGGGGGATATAGTAGTAAGGGTTAACTTCCTTACTAAAGAGTGATGTCATCCACAGGAAGTGGTCGGTTGACCATTTTACAATAAAGGCTTAATGAGAACAAAGTTTTGCTGCCTCTTCCTAAAATCCAGAATAACATGGATGAGAAATTCTAATCTCTGT